CCGGCGTGCCCGCTGCATCCTGGCGCGGCTGCGGCAGCGCCGGGGGTTGCAACTCAATCAAATGCTGCTGACAGTCAGAGAAGCAGAGTTCAAGGAATGGGGAGGGGGTTATGGGCTCGCAGGCACGTGGCTTCGCGGCCACGCCGCCGCTCCTGCCGCTGTGGGGGCCTTGGGGGTCCGGGTGGCTTCTCGTGGATGGCTCCTCAGTGGGCTGCAGTGGATGCTGGGCTTTGCTGAGGGTTTCCCAGGGAGATGCACAGCTAATGTGAGGAGCGTGTGTGTGTTAATTGCTTCAGATAACTTCAGAGCATCATCTCGGTGACTCGAGGCATGGGGAGCGGGCAGCCAGTGCGTTTGCACACGCAGGAGCCTGCTCGGTGGGCTGGGAGTTCACCGCAGCCAGCACCAGGCAGGGGTGAACTTCCAAGCTGCTGATGTGATATTTTTAAACTCTGCTTGCTCCTAACTGCGGTGTAGGCCAGAACTTCTTTCCCAATTTTTGTCCCTTCTTGGTGGGTTGGAATCACCAAAGAAAATGAATCTGGATCTGAATTGCTATAGGTTGTGGAGGTGGATGTTTCCAGAAGGGAAATGTGTTTTCTTTCCTGCAAAGCTGTGACATGAGAGAAGAGCTCTGTAATGTTGCATGGATGAAGGGGGGGAGAGGCAAATGCAGCAAACAGCATAGTAGGAAGAAAACAAGAATGGAGCTATGGCAGATGTGATATGTTGTTGTTGTGGGGTTTTTTGTTTGTTTTTCTTCCAATTTTGGTAATAGTGCATCTGTCTTCCCCATGCATGTGTTTTTTTGCTTGCTCACCCTGTTGGTGAGACAGATGTAAGAAGGCTTCCTATAAGCTACCAATCCATATTCTTTAATGGAAACAACAAATGTGTGCTTAAAAAAGGGAGGAGGATCCACATAGGCAGATAATTTGCAAAAGCACTTTACTAGAAGAATTAAATCTAGGTCTGTGAAATTGTCAGAAGATGGTTATGCAGAGGTAGACTCAACTAATGAGGGTGAAGGTAGGCTGTGTTCTAGTGTCTAGGACTGGGGACCCTTTCAGCACAGGCACCGCAAATCATAGTTAAGTACAAGTACTCTGTACTGAAGGAGCTTGTGAGGGCATGCGTTAAATTTAAGGTGACTTGCTTGACATACCGACATGTTCCATCACTTATTGAACATGCAATACCAGTCGAGTTTCATCGTTTTTTCTGGGTTGTACCAGACAGGGACTTGCATCACGCAAGTCCTTTGCTAAAAGAGACTGTATGATATGTTACCACATCTTTTGTGTGTTTCTGTCGGCAGCGACTGATGTAGTTCCTCAATATTGGCAATGTCTTCTCTTGTATTTTTTTGTATACATCATCTTTAGCCCCTTCCTCCAACTGTGAGGAGTTTGGAGACCTCGTTTGTAAGGGAGCCTAGGCTGCAGCTCAGCTGTGTCTGATCCCTGGCTCTGGCCATTGTTTACAGCTGTGCCGTACCTAACAAAGACATTTAAATTCTCATTTGAAAAATCGAATGCTGCCTCACTGTGGAATCACTCCTAATACCATGACAATGATGGTGAGGCCAGGGTTTTGTTTTTAAAAAGAGAACGAACTGAATTGAAGCAATGTCTTTTTTTTTTCATTTCCAGTTTCTTTGTTACAAAAGTTTCTACCCCTGAATTAAGATGCAGAGAACTAGGTATAGTAAAAATATGCTGCTTTCAACACTTGTGCTTTTAAGAATAAAGTTGCTTTTAAAATGTAATTGCTTAAGGCTGTATATATTTCACATGCTGGGAATTATGAGGCAACTCTGAACTAGGGAGTTTGAGTTTCTGAATATTAAATCCCCTTTTAATAACGTGTTCTTACTACAACACTTAAAATGCTTGGCAACCAACAAAAGCCTCATCCAAGAGGGGTGTACTACATCTATTTAAAGATATAAAAGAGTTGCCTTCTGGATTCTATTCAATGATCTATAAGGGGCCTGACCTCTCCTTTAGTTCTTTTCATATTGCTATTACGTTTCCCATGAATGATTTCCCTCCCCCCAGTCCTTTAACTTTTCCAATTTTGTGAAAGAAACCAAGGAGGATTGGCAGCTGGGCACTAGCTGAAAATCTTAAGCCACTTTATTTAACATGAATTTGGTGCAGGAACAGGAATGAGACTCTCTAGCAGTATAGTTTAGAGTAGGAAAAACACAGAAAATTATTTATGATTGTCCCGTGGTTTGGGGAGAAAAGTAATTTTCTGTCTCTCACTGAATATCAGTACTCAAGCTTTTCAGGAGACCTGAACATCTACTTTTCCACTGATTAAAATGCTAGCACCTCTGAGGATCACCTAGGAGTAGGGAAGTACCTTGTGAGGCCACCACGGCTTGGGGGGTGGAAGTGCGTTGGGTTTGTTTTATTCTGTCTGTTAGTACAGTTAGAAAAAGTAGGCAAGCTTCCAAGGAAGCCCTTCCTCAGGTCAGAAGTAGAAGCAGCAAATAGCAAAATATGTTGAAAACAGCTGATCTTAATCATTAATTTTCAGTGTAGCTGACAAAACTCCAGGTAGAAATTGCCTTGGACTGTTTACAGGCTGTTTCTTTTATTTTTTTTTCTTGAATAGCATGGTTCATGCTTCAGGATATTGGCGCAGCCCTGCACTGAAAAGGGGCAGTGCAGAAGGGTACTGATGCACAAAAGTCCTCTGAAATGTTGCTATATAACTTTTTCAAAACTTGACAATAGTTTCACCTCTAAAGCCAGTGTTTTGGGGGAGGGGGATTAGGTGAGGCTCGACACTGAGCACTGCTGTCTTGAAGATTGGCTATAATGGATCTAATGGAGCGCTGTAGCTTTCTCCAAGCTATTTTTATTTCTCCTGAGTATTTGCACTAAGCTGCAGTTAAGGTGGCTGGAGAATAGTTTTTCCCATCTCCAACCTGAGCCTCCCAGTGCAACCCCACGGATGTAAATACATACTTAGATCTGAATGAAGTCAGGGAGACTTAAGCACATGCTTATATGCAGTTTTGAATAGGGATAGAAGTAAGCAGAGATTTAAGTGCTTTCCTGAATTGGGATCCTCTTGTCCTCTTTGTGTGCGGTTCCTCACGCCCTGTGCAGAGCCGTGGCTGCAGCGTGGCCAGGCACAGCTCCAGGCACAGCTCCGGGCACGGCTCCTGCCACCGGCCGGGAGCTCTCCAGCTCCAGCCCACCCGCCAGCCTGGTCCCCCACCCCTGAGGGGTTATTTTGGATTTGCAGCTTTGCTCCTGTACGTGAAGCTTTTTTCATGCACTCTTCTTGTTAAGCTTTTTAAGATTCACTAAGCTGCTTGCTTTGTAGAGAAAAAGGGAGAATCCTCTTTGGATCATATTTTATTTTGAATATGGTTGCTGAATTCCAGGGACTAATCTTTTTGGAGGGCAGCGTGAGGCAGAGTAGACAGTAGTATATTATTTTCTGTGTTACTTTATTTTACGTAACATCAAAAAAACCTCCACCCTGAACCTCTTTTTCTCTTTCCACCGATATGATCCATTTATGTTCCAAAATGATGAAACCAGCAGACTTCTGGAAAGCATTTTTTTTAATAGAAAGCTCTCCATTTAAAGGACAGTTGTTTGGATTGTAATAAAAAATAATCAAATTTCAATCCCCTATTCATAAACCTACAAGCTGCCTTGTGTTCAGAAGTCTGTGTGCTGACTTTCTGCTTGATAGAAAGCTAGAACTGTGCTTGCAAATTCTTGGTTTGTTTTTCTTCTCTCACAGCCCCCCTCCCCGGGTAACACTGCATAATAGAGAGAAACTCCACAGAAAGAAATGGGAAGAGACCTCCTACTGCGGGGTGCTACTTAAGATACAGATCATTGGCATTTACCAGCCATATAAAAACAATATTTTCCCAAACCCTCTGAGTCCTGCTCCACAGTTTATATAGCATAAGGCTGCAAAAGCCAAAAGTTTGGTGCAGCACATCCAAACAACCCTTTTTTTTTTTTTCCTCAGATGTATTTGACTCATTTTAATAAACCTCTGGCTTCATCTTTAATGCCAAATTAAGTGGTTTGATCTGTACCTCAGTGAAGCTCTGCAGATCTATTGTGAAGTCTTGACTTAAGTGCTCGGATGGTAGAAAAAGGCATCTCTTCTGGCTAATATATTTAAGACTTTAGATAATCTGCTTTATTGTACATCCATCATGCCGCAGATTTGGTGATAATTCCAAAGGCCATAGCTGAAGCTGCAGCAAACCATTTGCATTTTATTGTGTTTACTTTTTTGTCTTTAAAAAATATATAAATCAGGGTACAGTACAGAATGAAACAAATATCAATCAAATATTAAGAACTGATTTTTTTTTTTTTTAAATCAGAGATCAAGACTAGTTGCTTTTTTAAATTGTGTTAATCACTGACTTGTATTCTGGTTAACTTCTGAAAACATAAACTGGAAACATTGTAAATGCTAAATAAAGCTGTGTGTATTTAGAGAAAGCATTTATGAAAGCAGTAATTTATTATTACAAAAATACTTTAATAGCAGAGCAATATTGGGAAATGAAGCAGTTGTGTTATTAGCTAGTTTCTTAAACATGCGTGAGAAAACATCTAATGTTTAGGAGGTAGTTTCCCCACAGAAAGAAAAAGGAATTACAGAATTCCCAAGATCAAAATAAAACTAATTCAAGTAAGTTGCTTTATGGGAGTCCTGAGTCAAAGGAAACATCTGGTCCCGCGCCTTCTTAGCAGGACATATGGTACATGCTGCAGAGATGTCATCCATGAGAGGCCAGGAGCATGGCTGGAAAAGCAGAATTAGCTTTGCTACCTAAAAAGGGCATCTCATTTATACAGGAGTTATAAAAATGTGTAGTGGTTAGAAAGGTCCTCTCTTTTACCTTGAAACAGCTGAGGCTGGGAGGGTTATTGAACAAGACAAATCTGCTCCAGCTGCTTTGATTTTTCTTGTATTGGAAAAATTCTAAAGCAGATGATATTGTTTTCAGAATAATGGTCCAAAAAGCCTTTTGTGTGCATAATGGTAGGAAATCATCATGTCGTAGCTTTGTCCAGGTGTTAATTTTTCTTTTCCAGCATGCATTTACATCATTAGGGAAAGCGCTACAAAAATAAGTTTCCATTCTTGAACCCTGCAGGTAGTGCTTCCTATACTGACAGTTAGCAAATAAATCCTTGTGGTCTTTAAGAGAAATACATGAAATATGGTTAAACAAATCCACCTCTCCTTCCAAGAGCTCTTTTGCACAGTGGTTGAGGAATTGCTGTGCCTGTGTGGGGAGAGCACACAGGGGTTTTTTTTTCCTCCTTTGCACAGGAGAATATTCAAAAGCGCTTTTTGTTGTTTCGTGAATAACCGTATTAAAAGGGGAGGAAGAGATGTTATCTGTCAGACCCTTTTAGTGTCATAGTACCTAACTTTGTATAGCCCATACAGAAGACTGCCAGGGATGCTTTTTTGGATCCTCTTGGAGTGCGGCTTTTCTTTTCAAGCCTCTGCGTAATGGACTCTTAATCCCGGTATGCTTCCTGCCCGGCAGAGATGTCTTTAGCCCAGCATTTGTTTTGTTTACCCTTTTTTTTTTTTTTTTTTCCAACTAAAAATCTCGCAAGGCAAAACCCAGAATCCGCGAAAGACCTATGAGATATTTGTGAAATGGGCCATGACTGCTTATAATTTGTAGGAATAATTACAGCATGTAAGGAAGTCTGCATTTATTAGCAGCAGTGATGAAGCATGTTGTTAAGCACACAGTGTGTCACCAAAGCAGCAGGCTGCCGGGAGCCCAGAATGGCTTTCATTGTTAATTTGGAGCAGAAACACTGAAGCATATCCTGAGAAGGATGCTAATGAAGGGACTGCCAGTAGTAAAATTCTAGTGACCTTTGTGCTTTGTGCTAATTTCTGTTCCCCCTCCCTTCCCCCTTCTCCTTCCCCCCTGAGCTGCTATCTGGCCAGTTAGCCCCTGAATTTCGAGGTACAGTAGGAGTGTTGTCTGTGCCGGGGTGAGCTCCACGTGCCTCCCCCACTTCCACTCAAATCACAGCAGATTAAAGAGGCTTTTGTTGAAATATAACAGACAGACACATAGAGGCAGGGTTCAAATTAGCTGATTATAAATCACTGGTTAGTCTGAGAAGCCAAATCTAGAGCTGGCTAATGATTTGAAATTACTAGCCAATTGTTAAATTAATCCCCTGTTTTAAAGCAACTGGGAAATGTTTGACAGCTGCAAAGAAATAAATATTTACGTGTTTTCTGTAGGGCCTGTACTCTGCAGGGCTTGTTCAGGCTGTGTCTGCCGAGAGGCAAAGGAGAGGTGGTAGAGCCGAGCCAGATACAAGAGCTGCAGCACGGGAGGAAACGAGCCTGGCTTTTAAGATGGGCCCATTTTACTTATGGCTTCCAGCTCTTGGCTTGAGAGTTGAGCTTTGAATTTTCAGCCACCTAGGGAAGAGGAGTCAGGAGCTGGTGGTTCCCTATTGTAATTTTTCCTGTTCTTGCTCTGTTGTCTGCCTAACGCCAAAAGTATTTTCAAATTCCTCAATTAAGCAGTATGCAAAGAAGTTTAAGAGCTTGTTTCAGAGCTGTCACTGGAGAGTGACCGGGGTTTCTGACTCCAGGGCTGAGGTCTGGGGCTGTTGGAGGGGAGGTTTTCAGCCCTTTTCACAGGCTGAAACCTACTGCTTTACCCAGTGGGAGCAGTAGGCTTGGTAAATCTTTACAGGGCAGCGTTGCCTAATGCCTGTGATAGAAACGCTACCCATTTTCTCCAGAATAGTGAAGTGGAAGGAAGAGTAAAGAGCATCGCACAGCACCCACAACCCCTGTCCCGCTGCTGCTCTAATGCACTGATACCTTTCCTTTGCAGGGACTGTGAAGGTGAAGAGCTCTAATATACAAGTAGGCGACCTCATCATTGTTGAAAAGGTTAGCCTTTATGTGTATCTTTTCTTTGTAAAGTACTTTTTTTGCAAGACCATAGAAAATAAAGTATTTTGAAGTCACATTTGTTTTACAGTAAGCTCAGAATATCAAGTGCTGAACACTAGTTATAATATTTAATCACTTTTCAGGGTTTCTCCCTCTCCCCTCCCACCCCCTTTTTCACACATTCTCTGTGCAAGCAGCTCTGTCCCCTAAAACGATTAGACTGAAAATATGCAGTACAAAAAAAGACAAATGGTAGCTGGAGACTCCAGATACATGCTTTCTTCTAGCATGGGACTTCTTGAAAGGAAAGCAGCAGTAGTTTAAAATTTCTTCATACTTCTAGAGTTACTCACTAGCTCTTTTGTAAACCTAGCTGTTGGCTGGTCTGGTCAGTGGGAGCTGGCACCAGTTATTATTTTGCACTTGGAATTCTGCAGGGAAGCGAGTTTAGGATTCAAAGCAAAATGAATGCCAAGCTTCAGTTTGACAAAGAAATCCTCTTTCTCTTCCATACCCCCTTTGCTTGTCACGGTGGGGCTGTGGAAGGCGGCTGCACACGCGTGCAGGGGTGTATGCACAATAATGGCCTTTCTTCTCCTAACAGAACCAGCGGGTCCCTGCTGACATGATCTTCCTGAGGACATCGGAGAAGAATGGTAAACATCTGGAACCAATTGTCAAAATAGCCATTAACCTTTCACTGGTTGTTTAGAGAAAATTATCTTTTGGAAATGTGAAAGAAATAGATAATAGTAAAATTTTAGAGAGACAGAGGGTTCAAATGCTTTTATGGACCACCACTTCTCAGGATGTTATACTCCGTTTTCATTTGCTAAGCAAAGAATGTAGGTAGTTGAATCCGGGGTAAATGAATCAGGTTGCACAATGGTTTGCATTAAAGATGTAAATCATTTTACTTGCCATTCAGGTTTGTTTTGTTAAGTGTGGGATAAGGAAATGTTTGATCAGAAGCATTAAAAAACATAGAGACTAATGAGAACATTTCAAATGTCTTAAAGATACAGTGCAGAGTCTCACTGTGTTCTGGACTAGTGAAAGGAAATGAATGTGTGATGTATGAATATCATTCGTACGTTATTAACAAATGTTACTTGAAATCAGATACTGTTGCCAAAGAAAGAAGGGTGTCCTAGGTGTACAGCTCATTTCATGAGCTATAAGGGTACGTAGGACAGATCTGGAAAGGGCACTGACTGGTGTTGAAAATCCGCAGGGTCTTGCTTCCTTCGCACTGACCAGCTGGATGGTGAGACAGACTGGAAATTGCGGCTGCCTGTTACCTGTACTCAGAGACTGCCAACTGCTTCTGTAAGCTGCCTTCATACAAAATATTCCACTTGGTAAACACGTGTTATCTCTTTTACCTGAAAAACGTTCAGGTGCTTCAGTTAATGGGCTGTTTTGAGAAACAGGTTAATGCAGCATTGTTCTGCACAGGGCTCAGTGCATGTTACAGATTAGCATTGGCAACAAGAATACAGGGGTGAGCCAGCTCTTCCCGAGCTCCGGGCAAGAGTTCAGGTGAGGTGAAGCTAGGTGTGTCTGTGCCGCATGGCTGTCGCCGCAGCAAGAGAATGACCTTGCAGCAGGAGGTGGATAATGGTAAGATGCTCCTATATTCTTTTTCCTCTCCATAGACCATTGCAGTAACTGACTGCAGGATAGGTCTTGTTGCAGGATAGGTACCCTTGTTGTGGTACTTCTCAGGTGCTCCCATTCATTCCTCAAACTGCAGTATGTTCAGAGGCACAATTCATGCATTTTCATGAAATGGCTTCAGAGGCAGTTAAGTTTTCATTGCTTGCCTTTATGAAAGGAGGAGTGTCACCAGGGAAGCTCCACTGTGTGATCTGAAATAAGCATATAACCTCCATCAAACATGCTGTTTCCCAAAATGTCTAGCTAAAGTAGTTCGTGTGGGTTTTTTGTTTTTGTTTTTAAAAAGGCAGGGGAGGAGAGGAATCTAAGTACCTGTGTTATTGATGTTCTAGCTGTAAAAAGTGCAAGAAGTTTATTTTACACAAAGGCTTTGAAGCAAGGCATTCTCTCCATGGAGCAAATAGTTCATGCATGTGTAGGAGTCAGCAGTGAAAACACTGCGCAGAATTGGCATATCTTCTTGTCACCACAGAACTGTTCCTAGTGACACTGGCATCTTGAACTAAATATTGAGTGATAGGGTGTTCCTTGGTTGCCTTGGAAGACTAGTCCAAACCTTCTTTTCTACGAAGTAATAAGTGTCTTAGGCTGTCTTAATTATTCAGGCTGAAATTTCTTTTATGGAGCACCGACATCTAAGTAACTCCTAGGAGTCTCTTAAGTATCGGTTCAAGAAATAGTCTTCAGTGAAACTGGTACAACAGTTGTATTTTCTCTTCGACAGTTGGGCTCCAGTAAGTAATATAATTTAGTAATTATCTTAACTTGATAAATAACTCTTGCTCAAAGTATTTGGTAGAAACATTTGTACATTATTAAAATGTCGTCTAACTGTCTGCCAAAACATGTCTGTTTTATAGGACCTACTGCAAATTCGATCCTATGTGTATGCAGAAGAACCCAATATCGATATACATAATTTCGTGGGGACCTTCACAAGGGTGAGTCTTGCTGACATATGCTTGAAATCATATATGTAGTGTTTGCTATGCAAACCTGCTGAATGCTACAGGATGCCAGAGTTTTTCAGGAGAAATAGTGAAGTCTCTCTTGCCATTCCTTGTCTCTTCTTTATTTTTTTCCTTTTTTTTGCTTTTTTTCCTCTTTTTTCTTTTTTTTTTCTTTTTTTTCCCCTTCATAAAACTAATGAAATAAATCTGAAACAAAAATGTGGTTTTTGAAGCTTTGACTTGGAGACAATGTCATAGGCTGTTTGGGATTAAGGACGTTACTCTGAAGGTATTTGACCTGAACATTGGGACAGAGATTGGTAGCTACGTATTCGTGGTGCCTGTTTAGAAGGACATCTGGATCACCATGGATTCCATAGGATTAAATTCCTTTAACTGTGAAAAGACAGGGGATCTTAGCTACATCAGGCAATAGCAGTCTTAATTCTGAGTCAGTTGGGTTTTTGCCTTCAATTGCATGCAGCCTATGTGAACTGAGTTATATCTGCCCCCTATTTCAGAGGGCAGCAGCTCAGAGCCAGTGTGAAATATCACCATTAAAAATATATATCTTTTGACTTGTTGTGAAGTTGTGAACTTTGGCTACTTGGGGCCAAAGTTTGGTTTTTTTCCCCTCTCACTGGGATTATGAAAGTTTTGAGAGATTCATCTAATACCCTTGGGGAGCTTTCAGAGGACAAATGGTTTTGTAACAATTAGGAGACAGTTACAGCTTTTTAGAAGTTGTTTGCTCGTATTTGAGTTCAAAATTGTAGGTTTTGCCTTTTTGTTTTTATGTGGCATGGTTTAATCTGTTTTTTATGTGGCACGGTTTAATCTGGTTTAATAGTGCTGGCATGGGCGAGTGGCTTGGGGAGGCAGTTCTTGTATAAAACCTGCCCAGACATTAATTTACTTTCTCATGCAAAGGTACAGTTGTGTAGAATTAATCTTTTGGTGCCTAAGACGAATCGCTCTTTCTTGTAACTGTTCTCCGGTGCGTATCAGACAACTTTCCAGGCATCACTGAGCAGTCCAAACAGGTTCTCAGCGAGATCTTACAGTAGCAGGTGACATGATATTAATCTGCATGAGCTAAGTGAGGGAACGTTTTCCTGTAGTCCCTGGAGAGCTGCTGCCAAATCTCTTTCTCATTTATGATTCCCAGGGACCTTCAGCAGGCAGAGGTATCTTAATAGATTTTTTTTTTTTTCTTTCCCTCCCCCAATCCGTCTGTTCTACTGAAACAAAGTTCTCATGTTTTTAACCCAACCAGAGATTTACCTGGGTTTATGGAAATCCTCCATCCTATCAAGAAGCCCTCTACCAACTCTCCCAGCATCCCTCTCCAAACACCTCTGTGTGACTCTTGGCATCCACTGGTCTTTTGCATTACTGACAAGTTTGCTTATTTTTCTTTTTATGCTGTTGTAGGAGGACAGTGACCCTCCAGTAAACGAAAGTTTAAGCATAGAAAACACCCTATGGGCCAGCACAGTGATTGCATCAGGTAAGATGGAGGCATGTGTAAATTTTTTTTAAGGGAATATGTTAACAATTTTTAAAGGTCTTTTTGTAATGGAGTAATAATCTCTGTCAGTTGGAGAAATTAGCAGTTGGAATGAGGTTTCCCACTTGTCCTAACACCTCTGGGGAGCTGAGCTGACATCTAATTGCCTCTTGGACATTCCTAGATGAGAAAGAATTGGAGTGGCCTTTGGGCACTTCTTTAGCATCTAGGACCAGAATAGCACTTAATTGCTCTCCACATTGACATCCTAATCTGTAACAGAAATGGTGTCAAATAGATTCTGGTAACAGAAGCTAAGATGAAAGATTCCCAGGTAAGTGCTTCCATTGAGTTCATCTTCTATACTTTTTAAAAAGGAAAAAAATAAATTCCTTGACAGATTTTGGCTTATATATACGATAAGCTCCCAAGGCCTGAAATGAATCAATGCCCTCTTGTAGAGGCTTGTCAAAGTAAAAGCCCTGTTCCTCTCCTGTCCAGCATGTTTGCGAAGTTTGCAGGGTGGTAGCTGGAGGAGAGTGAAATTCTGTAGTGCAGTTCTGGAATTAAAGTTGTTGAATGGAGAGACTTGACAGTGCGGTACCAAGGTGTACATGAAATTAATAATAATAGGAAGGAACATGAACTTCAAAAGATTTTTTGAAGCACTGAAAAGATTTTGATTTGCTCTTTTAAAAGCAGAAAGCAGTGAATAAATTTTATTCCTGTATGTTTCTACCTAATCCTGCTCTGGCTCTGCTTTGAAATGTATTACAGTGTTGTCACAGTGCTGTGACCAACGGATTGTGGAAAAACCTAGTTGTCCAAATACAATTTAATTAAGGTCCGAATAAAATTTAATCAAGTAAATTATGTTCATAGGTTAGTAATTGCCATGCAGTAGGTAACTTACCTTCCTCCCCTCTGAGTGTAGACACATGTAGTCAGCCTGGCAGCTTCAAATACCCATCAGGCTCCTTAATGCATAAGTCTCAGCTCATCCTGCTTTTGAACAAAATAGGCGGAGAAATGGAAAACCACTTTTCTTGTGATTCTGTCCTGTACGGCTCCTCTCCCTGCATCTCCTTTCCCAGGGGGCCCTTCTTGCCGCTTGTATGGAAGCTTTAATTTGTACCAGCTCTTGAACCGTTGCAGATCTCACACTGCCATGGCTGAGCCTAACACGGGGGGGTGTTACAGTGAATAGTCCTGCT